AGAGATCGTTTCCACACCGAGTCTATTTTTGCTGCGCTGCAAGCGCTGAATTAAAGTAACAGTAAAGTGAATTAAAGTAAAGTGTTTTCAGTAAATACAAACATGGATTGACATGAAAATGTAGTAATAATTACACCATAAATACATATTAAAGTCTACTGTGTTTCATAGTTTTTATATTTATTGTGTTTAAACATGTCTGTGAAAGATTATATTACTGTACTGTGTAAAAAAAAGAATTACAATCCTGAAAAAACATTTCAGTGACAATGTTTGGATTTGAAATCAAAATAATGGATAAATGTTGTGTTTGTGGTAAACAGCCACGGATCAGTAGCGGACTCCTGTGTGAAAGCTGCTTCTCCTCTCACAAGAGTCACCTAAGAGGGGAATTACCCCCATTTTCAAAAATGAAATTCAGGCCCTGAATAAATGTCTAAAAATCCTGATTGGAGTATCACTATAAATAGTTATAAATGATAAAAAGAAGGCTTTAAAAAGATCAGTATCGGCAGATATTGCTTTCTGTGATCGGCGATCAGCCTCAAAACTCCTGATCGGAGCACCCCTACTGGATATGTGGATTTTCTGTGCGAGGGCACCCTCTGGCATCCAGTATGAATGAAACAGACATCATGTGTTTATGGCCAATCCATTATTTTTTGGGGAATTTTTATTTATTTATTTTTTTTAATAAGTATCGGTTCAGGCACCGGAACCGTTTTAGAAGTATCGATTTGGCACTCGATTTCGGTATCGAGAAAAAAATAAAAACATACCCAACAGGAACAATCATGATCTTTTTTACACAAGATGGATTTTATTAAATGCGTCCCTGCGTGAGCTCCATAACTTCATTGTGTAATGACTACATGTGCTACTACTGTGACAGAGCTGACAGATTTTTTTTTAACTTTGTAAAAACTGAAGCAGGGTGTATGTAATCTCATGTTAATTTTTCGAGCAGTTTCTAAATTTAGTCTCAGTCCTGTGTTAAATGTCCTTTTTTTTAATCATATTTAGTCAACCTATCCTTTTTTTTTTTTTTTTTTTGATCAAGTTTTAGTTGTCTAAAAGTCTGGGAATTTTAGTCCAGATTTGAAAACTTGTGGTTAAATTTATAATCACAATTATTTGCTCAAAACTATAATTCAATTTTGTTGTCATTTGAGAAATGTCATCAGAATTAATTGCAATTTCACCAATAACCACAAATAAAGGAGCAGTCGTGGCCTAATGGTTAGAGTCTGACTTGGGTTCGAGTCTCAGGTTTGGCAGGGATTGTACAGTTCGCCAGTCAGAAGGTTTGATGGCAGATTAGCACAGCAAACAGCGCAAACATCCGTGTGAAGGAACACAGACTGGCTCTATTATAATTTAATCTGAGCAACACATCTCAGTGGAGATCACAAAACTCCAAATTACATTTAAACTCTTGACATCTAGAAACCCATGGAGGTCTATATTTTTCTCCTCTATTTTATAAACTACATTTTAGTCTCCTCTTTTTCATTAATGATATTGCATGTTGATATAGTCATAGTTTGTGTTTATTGATTGTCTCATCTTTGTCTAGTCTTAGTCATGCAAAAAGTTACAAATATTTTTCATCACAGTTCTTGTTAAAGAAATGAACACTAGTGCGCTGTAACAGCACTATTATAGAGTATATTCCTTAATTACCTGAGATTCACACATAGTTTCCGGCTTGTATCCTGGAACAGCTCTGGGAGGTTCCTTCACCCAGGCTTTACTGGGAATCTTTGCTTTTCCCATCAAGTTTAAAGGGATGCTGTTTTCTGGGATGACATTCAGCAAAAGGGTCGACACCACCTTGAAAAGGCAGCAAAAATTTGGTATTTATGTTCAACTTTTGTTTTGTTTTTGGGCATCTGGAAGGTATCTGTAAGAATGCAATCGGGGTACACTGCAGGCTGAACTCATGCATAAACATATCTGATGACAATACAGATCGCACACGCATTAAGATAACTAGATTACCTGCTTTCCTGTCCAGAGAGGCAAGGGTTTAAAGAGAGCGGGAGGCAGGAGCTTCACTCTGCCGATCTTGTCCGTCAGGCCTCTGTAGACTAGTGCAGTGTACTGATCCCGTGTGAAAAAACAGCCACGGATGGTCATGCTGGCGCCAGACACCATGTGGTCCTGAATCAGGCCGGCCAATGGCTTCCCATCCTACAGAAGGAGCAGAGACCAGTGAAGTGTTTTCCAAAATGAAAGACAATTCATATTTAAGTTGTTTCATTTTTCTAGATGAAGACTCACTTTAGGCACTAAGTACTGCTGGTCTGTGCTCACTAGCGTGTAGGCCTCAGCTCTGCCCAGCTCACTCTGAGGGAAGTGAGCGTTCATCTCGTCACCATCAAAGTCAGCGTTGTAGGCCTTACAGTTGGCATAATGTAGTCTGAGCACTTTCTCTCCGGGCAGGATGCGAGCACAGTGGGCCTGAATTGATGGTCTGTGGAGAGTGGGCTGACGGTTTAACAGCAGCACATCCCCATTAATGATGTGCCGATTTACCTGCAAAAGAGAAGCAATTGTCAATGGACTGAATCAACAAATAATACAAAATGTTAATGTTGACTTTGCATTTATGGTACACTTGATTCAAAACTACTATATTAATATTTTCAGTGTATTTACAGTAGAATGTGAAGCAGATAGGAGCTGTGTAATATGTTGACTATGCATCGTAACTGTTGTTTCAACAATGTGAAAGCTGATATTATGATGTCACTCACTTCACAAAAACCAAACACAAACTGATAGTGCAGGCGTTCAATGCGTGGTGTAGCCTAATAAAATATAGTAAGGATGACCCCTAAAAAAAAAAACCTATGTATGTGATGTTTTTTTTTATTTTTATATTTCTACAAAATACATACCTTTCAATACAGGTAATCAATATCACACAAGCAAGTGTGCTGTTTTCCCAAATAGCAGCATACTTGCAAATGTGATACTGATTTTACACAACAGTTCAGTAATAAGCAACAAGTTAATATTTAGACAAAATTTTGTCCATATTGTCTGTTTTTGCTCTATTTCACCAACACAAACAGTTCCAATCCACAGCAGAACTGTTGTGTAACACACATTTCATTCCTGTATCAATCATCATTTTTTAACAAATCAATCATTCAGCCATCATTGCTTTATTCCTGAATGAATCAGTCTGAACAAATTGGGTGAATAATTGACTCAATGACTCACTGCCACCAACAGTGACAGTTTTAGTTTTATATTTAAAGTATAATTTCATTCAAAATCATTTCATATTTTAAATATTCAAAATATTATTTTTAAAACAAATCTCATAGCATGATTTATGCAATTGTAATTGGCTAATTGCAATGTAAATACATTTACACTTTGTCTGATTATTCTAATTGAATTTTGATTAAATGTAAGAAGGTGACAAACACTGATGCATACATCTAATATGGTTAGAAAAAAACTGATCTTATAAAAGTAAACTGTCCCAGGAAATCAATTTAAGGTGCAAAATATCACCCCTTACTGAAAAAATCACTGCTATGAACTAACTGCTGCACTGAATATGAAGAATATGAAAAACTTTGCGAGTTGGCTATCCGACATCGAGGTATCATTTTTGTCAATATTACACACCCCTAGAAGCAACATTCAATTATTAATATAGGATAAAACTGATCTTAATAGTGTGCGTAGACTAGCTATCTAACAGTATGGCTCATGAAACCAGATGTTATAATATTATACAAAATCTACCCAAATAGCAGTGCATCTTTGTCAAGATAACTGACTCACAATCTTCATGGGTATCCTGTGCTGGCCGGTGCTGGGGGTCAGGAGCTGTTTGGCCACGGCTTCTCTCTGGGTCAGGTTGCTGCTACTGAGGATGGTTCGGGACCCGTCTTCATTAATGACCATGGAGGCTCCAGGGTGGATGCTGGGTCCATTCAGCACTGCCTGCCGGAGTTCCTTCACGTTCCAGGGTGTCACCGGCTGTGGGTACGTCAACTTGGTAGCAAAAACCTAGAGGAACCATATCAAACGACTTTCAAAAACACCAAAATCAGTATTAAACACTTTTGTACAATGGCTGCTAAACTGGATATTTCACTGCTAACAATGAAAACATATGAACGCTACTTTCATGCCTCTCGTATAACTCTGAAATTGCTCTCTTTCCATATCAAAGCAAGTACAGAGAGAGTTACTACAGCTACTGGACTTTAGTATGTATTTTTTGGTGAATATGTCATGTCCATGTATTTCTTTATTTGATAAGTAGCTGTTCAATAAGCAGAATAACGAACAGTCAGCCCAAACACTATCAAAAACGCTATCAAAAGGTAAAATCCAGTCTCACCATTGGTATTCCAATCTCATTGGTTCCGATGTACATATCAGGACAAATGACTGAGCGTGCAGCGTAATCCACACGCTTTCCCATCATGTGTTTCCTGAACAAACCCTCTTTCTTCTCCAAGAGCTGAGAGACACATTCGAAAGAGACAAACACTTCAAAACATTATTTCCCACCTATTTTAGTTCATAATGGATTCTGACCTTGAGATCTGTCACAGTCTGACCTGACGGATGCCTGGGAACTTCTCAGTCATCAGTTTGTCCATGTCGCTGTCAAACACGATGTTGACGTGACTCTGCAGGCGGACCCACATGTTATAGAGCTTGTCTGTGAGAGTCAGCCCTTGGATTCCCGTTAAGAAGGTCTGATCTTTCTGACTGATCTCTGTAGATTCACTGGACTGAAGAAATGACAGATCATGAACACACATGGCACTTCTCATAAGAGAGGTGCAAATAAATGGATGGATTTGAAATGGAAGGAAATCGCAACTGATTTACTATCATTAAAAATATACACATATAACTGCTGAAATTAAATCAACAAAACACAATATTTCCTCAAAATTAACTGAAAGTAGATTTATGATCGTAAAACGATTTATAATGTACTTCCTCAAAATGCACATGATTTTATGGATTTCCCCTGTTAAACACAGAAACATTCAATAAAATGTATACTTTAGGGAGTAACATTTTTTGGACCCTGTCTACAACTTGGGAAGTTGAAATAAATGGTCAAATTGTCTTAGTTTTTATAAATTGGTTTGTGTTGACTGTATTTGTCATTCAACCTTGGTACCAAAGTTATTGACAGAATTATGCATATATTATTTGCATTCATTTATGGAAAATTTTACCATATAATTTTTCTACAAACCAACATTTAGTCCAAACTACTCCCTACTGAGTAACAGCTCAATTTGGGGTAAATTTGCAATCCTGTTACCCATTCTTTTTTTTTCACATTTTAATGAATTTCTACATTTAATTAACATCTATGTGACAAATTAATAGGGTGCAACCATTCTATAAAAATAATATTAAAAAAAGCTCACAATGTTATATGAGTTTCAAGCCTTATATGCTTCATGGAAACTACCACATACATAAAGAAAGATTCATGCAACAAATTAAATAACTCCGATTCAAAGTGATAACAATAAATTTAGCGTATTATTGTATTTAGTTTGTTAACATAAATTCTTCCCACCTGCTCCATCTCTGTCTGTGTGTCTTCAGTAGCGTTGGTCTTCTCATCAGCGATTAGTGCAAGCAGTTTCTGAATGATGAAATTATCCTTTAACACGGCCTGGAGGTTCACGGTCTGTCCGTTGGTGAACATCTGGTCTCCCAAACGATTAACAGGCCTGTACCTGTACACCACACACACACAACTCATTCAGTCAAAAATCTCTCTGTAAAAACAGGAAACTACATAATCATCTCAGAGTGATGTCGAACAGGTTGTTGTGTACAGGACATTGTACATACAGTGATAAACTTACCTGCATGGAGGAACAACAAGCAACTCCAAAAAGAAAACTTCAGGACTGAAGCCTTTCTCTGAGTTGTTCATGTCAAACCCTGAGAACAGATGCTTCAGGAAGAAACCTAGAGAATCAAAATGATACATTCAAAAAACCTTTTGTTTGCATTACGAAACCTAGAAAGAAAATGGGAATTAAACTCAACCAATCTTACCTTCTTTCTCCCAGAGTTTGATGACGTGTTCGCGTAGCAAACTTGGTGTCAAGAATCCACGTTTGGTAATCAGTGAATCATCTGGAAGCAAACACAAATGTGTATACTCGAGTGTAGATACTCGCAAACCGTAAACCCACTGTAGATCTGCATTTAAACTGCTAAAATACAGGATTACATTTAATACAGTTTCTTTCTTTCATTGACTGCATACATTTTAAATATTTTAAAATCATTTCGAAGTTTTTAACATATTGTCACTGATCGCATTTATTTAGAAAATGTTATTTTCAAAATAATGGCAAAATACGCTATCCAGTATAGAGTTTGTTATACTATAAATTTACTGATGAAATCCTTTATTATCAGGCATTATTACTCCATTCAAGTCCTCACCCATAAAGAATACAACTATAAAACTTTTTTTTTTTTACATTATTTTCTGCATTATATTCAGTTTATCGCATGCACTGATGTTCTCGAAGTGATAACATGCTCTTATGTGGTAAGAAGAAACCCAAAACACTTTATAATCTGCATCTATTCACCTCCGACACATTGATACAGTAATGGTGGTTTGATGTTGAATGATCACCAAACAGCAAAGTACGGTCTTATTTAAACTGTGACCCTGGACCACAAAACCAGACTTAAGTGTCAATTTTTCGAAAGTGAGATTTATGCATCAAAGCTGAATAAATAAGCTTTCCATTGATGTATGGTTTGTTATGATAGGACAATATTTGGCTGAGATAAAACTATTTTAAAATCTGGAATCTGAGGGTACAAAAAAATCTAATATTGAGAAAATCGCCTTTAAAGTTATCCAAATAAAGTCCTTAGCAATGCATATTACTAATCAAAACTGAAGTTTTGATATATTTACGGTAGGAAATTTACAAAATATCTTCATGGAACTTGAACTTTACTTGATATCCTAATGATTTTTGCCCCAGCGACTTAAAGCGTTAGTTCACCCAAAAATGAAAATTAGGCTGCGTTTTACTCACCCCCGAGGCATCCTAGGTGTATATGACTTTCTTCTTTCAGACGAATCCAGTCGGAATTATATTAAAAATTGTCTTTGATCTTTCAAGCTGTTTAATGCCACTCAGCGGGTGTTGCATTGCTTCAGTCCAAAAGAACTTAAATAAAAATCGCCCATCCATAAAAACAAGTCTCTCACACGGCTCCGGGGGGGGGGCGTGAATGAAGGCCTTCTGTAGCGAATCGATGCGTTTTTGTAAGAAAAATATCCATATTCAAAACGTAATAATCACTTTAGAATCAGAATCAGAATGAGCTTTATGAATGAATGAATGATGCATTTATATACCGCTTTATTGTGTATTGTTGTACACCCAAAGCGCTTTACAATAATGTGGGGGGGTCTCTCCTCAACCACCACCAGTGTGCAGCATCCACTTTATTGCCAGGTATGTTTTCACATACGAGGAATTTGTTTTCATGACAGAAGCTTCCGCAGTGCAACAGAATGAC